CTTCTGCGGTTTAGCCCGCAGCGCCACCACATCCCTAACATTTAAGTGTAGGGTTTTGTTAAAACAAAATCAAAAGTGCTCTTTAAGATATGATCAGCCAAAATATATGGTCTCATCATATTTCAAAGCCACGCAGTAGAAATGGCCAGCACAATCCACAGGTTCATGGATGCAGCTGAATCTGAATATCTAAGCCTGCATTATGTCACAAAGTTTCAACAGGCTGAGTCACTGCATGATTCCACAAAGAGAATAATTCAATCAGAACAGAGCACATTGAAGTCTTGTGGTTTTCAACAGAATGAGCATGCAGGCTTGCCGAACGTTGTGAGATTCCTTAAGAAATATTATTTGTTTAAGAGGACTACTTCTAAATATCTTGTGAAAATGACAGGCAGAAATGTTGGCTGAAGTGCCTAAACACTATAAAGTTCCCTGAGAAGCAGTAAAATCTGTTTCACTCCATTGAAGCATCCCCACCAGGTACAGTTCAAGACACACAGCATGAGGAGTGTCACCAAGAGCACACTTAATTCCCCCCCCTCAGAAATGATACATTTAAACAGGTGAAAGGAGAGTAAAAAAGCTCACCTAGGATATAACTTGAGTATGGATCTTTATAGCCCAGGCTTGTCATGTGACACAGTGGAGAACAATTCAAATATTAACGTATTCTTGAAGGCTTTCACGGCTGGGATCCAATGATTGTTGTAGGTTTTTTGGACTGTTTGACCATGTTCTGGCCGAACAGCCCAACAACCATCAGAGGCTGACCATGAAAGCCTTCAAGAATGCACATTTTTTATCCCATGTCTAAGACTGCATTTTTTTAAAAAAAGGATGTAAGCTACATAGATGGAAGTCAATAAGGATGTTGCCATTGTGTCAGCTTGAACCCCTTTCAAATTGTACACAAGGAAAGGGTGATTTTTTTTAAAAAAATGTACAATTTTTGAAGGCTTTCATAGTCAGGATCAGATGATTGTAGGTTTTTCAGGCTGTTTGGCCGTGAAGGTTCTGAAGGTTTTTCTTTCTAACTTTTCACTAGTCTCACAAGAACCATCAAACTGAGAAAACAACACCAAACTGAAGAAGATAAACAGCCACCCACAAATAAAGTATTTCTGCCATACATCAAAGGGGTCACGGACCGCATAGGGAAACTGTTGGAAAAACACAACCTAGAAAGAGTATTTAGGCCCACCACAAAAGAAGATGGAAGCCAAAATATTTGCTTACATACTTTTGTTTGTTAGTCGTTGTTGTAAGTTTGTGTGCATGTGTACTCACACACAGACACACAAACATACATTCGCCCCAGAGGGAGACTATAAAGAAGATGGAAGCCAAAATATTTGCTTATATACATCTGTTTGTTAGTCATTGTTGTAAGTTTGTGTGCATGTGTACAGACACACAAACATACATTCACCCCAGAGGGAGACAACAGCTGCAATACAAGGATATCTGCAAGCGTGATCTGAAGCCTTAGGAATAGACCTCAACAGATGGGAATCCCTGACATCTGAGCGTTCAGCCTGGAGGCAGGTGTCGCATCACGGCCTCTCCCAATTTGAAGAGACCCTTGTCCAGCAGGCCGAGGCAAAGTGGAGGTCACAAAAGCAGCAAAACCAGGGAGCTGGACAGGGGAAAGGCTGTATTTGTCTTCACTTTGGAAGAGATTGTCACTCTCGAATTGGCCTCCTCAGCCACACTAGACACTGTTCCAAGTCCTCCATACAGAGCACATTACCTTAGTCTTTCGAGACTGAAGGATGCCTAACATAACATGTAATAGCAAAATTATGCAGAAATTTTCCATGTGCAGGGGAATGAGTTTCCAGAGCATTGCGAGATTGGGTTGCATTCAATTTTTGTAACATATAATTGGTTGTGAAGGATGCTCTGCACTATAACATGTTTTCCTCCACCAGGTAAGAAGATTCTCTGAGGCTTTCTTTTATGCTGAGCATCAAAAGCTTGCTGTGTTGACTTTCCAGGACAGCCTGTACGTAATTTTTGCAAAACTGTTTCCATGATACTGTGTTAATAAATAATTCTGAGTTCATTGTCCTTCTTTCATCTTTCCTCACAATTTTTGGCCTATATCTAGCAGTGTTATTACTCTGGTGCAAAATCCTACCTGTGTAGCCGGGAGTGAAGTAGCAAAAAAAGTGCTGTTGTATAATTCAGCACAACCATGCAAGTTCCCCTCCTCTCTGCTAGCATAAACATTGGATGTAGATCTTTAAACTGGTCACTTCTCTCTGATTTAGTTTTGTCTAGCTGAAGAGAGTGAGTGGGTAATTGTTATTTTCTTCTAGTTGATATGAAATCTTTTCCCACCTTTAAGCATTTTAGAGCTTTCAAAATAAAGAAATAAAAAATGTTTTCTGAGAAATAAGTCACCACTAAGTGAATATTACAAATATAGAAATCTCTAGTGAGGAAAGAAGCTTGCAACAGGCTAAAATAAACACACTGACAAATAGAATAGATTCATTCACTGAATGGGGCTTAGGAAATGAAGTCTCTGCTCCAGAGGGCCTGCTCTATATCTAGCCATTGGATTTAGGAGAGTGCCTCTAAAAATGTTTAGGTAACTAGACAAGAGGCTCAAAATTGAGATTTCATGGGAAACAGTTGGCTGCCAAGGAGGGGAGCGGTTCTTAAAAGTGACCATGTGTTGTCACTTAGCAGGCTTTTGTTTACTTTTACCACTCGATGGCCAGGAACCCTGCCTGAAAGCAGGGAAATAAACATTCATATGTCATCCATTTCACTTATATGAAAAACAAAATGCATTAACATGGTTTGCCCATGAAATGTCAGTTTTATTATTTTCATATCTGTCGTGTATTGGTAGCAAAATGGAACAGGAGAGTGCCAAAAAAGTTTTTCTTGCTTGTTGAACTGGTTCATTGCATGAAAACGCCTATAGTAAACAATATTTCCCTAGTGCAAGGTTAAAGGTAGTATACTGTTAGGGTGGTTTTAGGACACTTCCTAAACTTCTTATAATTCTTTTTAACACTCTTAAAGAGACAAGGTACCAAACCCTGACAATCACGTACACCTAAAATAACCTATGTTTCCCCTGTCTTCTTTCTCAACAGTATCCAGCATCATAGCCAGGTTTCGTCAGAAATCCGGAGCTCTGAGTACCTCACCAGCATGCCACCTCTGCCTGTAGAGTGCCTGGACATCGATGGAGACTGCAGCACGTTGCCCGTTATTTTTGAAGACAGATATGTAAATTCCCTCTGCAAAGGTGGGTGGTATGTGGCGCTTAGTCTGTAAGGCCTTGGAGCGTCACAAACTGGCCAGCTCAGTGGTTTAGGCATATGGAGCCAGAGTTTGGGAGTACAATTCCCCACTGTGCCTCCCCAACAATGGCTGGACTCAGTGATCCATAGGGTCCCTTCCAGTTCTGCA